AAAAGATGGAGCTGCAACAATAAATGAAGGGTGCAAAAAGGAATCAGCTCAACTGCTTTGGAAAGCCTTTCAGTTTGCATTCAGAGTGTATACTTTTGCTGGTGGGCATGATGAGAGAGCAGAAAAGTTGACAAAAGAATTGGCTGAAGAAATCGAGACAGGCCTTCATCGTTAGATAATTAGTTTCTGCCCCTTTTTTCCAAAACAAAAAGGAAACAAAAGAAAGTCACTATAGGCTGCAATATATTGGCATTGTTGATGTTATTCTTGGCAAGGGCCTTGTAAATGCTTCTTTGAGCTATGATTTTCATGCTTATATATATGCTAGGAGAGAATTGCTAGACAAGATAATCATTATTTGTATAGACTGAGCGGAGAATTGAGCTAAAATCTAGCTTTGCCCTACCATTGTTGATACATACAATATATATCACACCTTAGTGACTGGTTTTGTAGCATGTGTATAGTAGCAGACTGTCTATTCTTTCCTTGTCAAACCAAAAAGAAAAAAAAATACACATGTAACAACATATAGATTGCCTAGAGTCTAACTTCTATATACAGACATTATAACATTTATCTTATGTGGTATCAGTAACTTGGAAACAAGGCACACAATGCAGCTACAACAGGTTAAAATACATGGGCAGTCCGGTGTATAAAGTATCCCGCGTTCACGCAGAGTCCGGGGAAGGGCCGCACTCAAAGTGGTGTGATATAGATAGTATCAGAGGCGGACCTAGGATTTATAGACGGCGGGGCACCCTATCTTAATCCATACAGTTAACTCTTGCCATAGTGTATTTGATTGGTTATTTGGTTCTGCAATCTAGCGCAGTTCTCAAATGATTATATATGTTAATTTAGTTACATTATTCAACTTATATATACAAATTGATCATCCAATTAATTAACAGGTTTCAAGTTTGATTTAATCAAATTTTCTACTTCCAGAAGAGAATTGTACGTTTTACTTGCATTTTATAAATTATAGATTACATCCGTTCTAATGATAATACAAATAAATAACAAGATGAGTAAAGTTAAATATAACATCCCTTTGACAGAGAGTGTTCAAAAATGATGTGAATGAAATAGAAAGAGATAGAAAAGAATTAAAGGAAAAGGAAAAAGGAGCAAAAGAAGAACGAAGATTGTAGCTGAAGACACTACCGGTAAGAAATATAAGAAACAAGGTAAGGGAAAAGGTGAAAAATAATAAAAACAAAGAAATAACTCAGGAATTAAGGATGTACTGTTTCTCATACTCAAGTTGTACAAGAGTATACTATCTTCGAATTCAGAAAAGAAAAAAAAGAAGAAGAAAATGATCAGTTGCAGAAACCGGTTTCGAACCCAAGGCGTCAAAACAATGGAAGGCGCTTGAGCAGGCCACTCGACCAACGCTCCTGTCCAAACTTTTATGATTGAGGGTGCCAACTAAACTATTTAACGTGCTCAATGTATATACAAATATATACATAACAAATTTACAATGTTTTTGCCGAGGCTAACGGATTCGGGTGACCCCTCTACGCCCAATATAGCTCCGCCTCTGGATAGCATATCCTAATGCAAGCATTAGTGACTGCTTCCACGGCTCGAACCCGTGACCTATAGGTCACACGGGGACAACTTTACCATTGCTCCAAGACCCCGTTCAACATGTTAAAATACATGTAAAAAAAAATTAAATTGTCAGTGTATATAAGTTAACTTCGTATGTATGTCGTCTATTATTTTATACAGTATTATTAGCGGACACTCTTACGTTTGCTTTTGTCAAAAAATGATAGCTCAACATGGTTATGAATATACGATACATAGTTATTCCTTTCATTATCACCTGATTTCAACTTGCAAGCAAGAAATGCATATGATATCAGTAAAAAATTCAGACACATACTATTTTTTTTTCCTTCTTTTGATATTTGATTTTATCAGTCCTTCCAGAAATTTTTATATATGCCATCATTTTTAATAGTCAAAATGTGGTAGAACATGTCAACACATCACGTATTTCAAATTACCTAAGTGATTTTATGCATGCAAACAAAAGTAGAACTCAAGTCTAGAGCTAAAAGAAACAGGGAAAAGTAGTAAATTCATTTAAACAAAAAGACAAACACCTGATGGGCTTCACTTCAAAAATACCGATTGTGATTCTCTCGGGTAGCTTTTATCACAAATCTCCATATAACTCCATATTCGCATAGGGCCGCGCGTAAATTAGCTTAACGGGACAGGATATATAGCAACGGGGTTCGTCTACTGTTATAATTATTTGGCTCTTTGTTTACTTTCATCTTCAAGATTTAGCTTTCATCTGCGTCTTTTTTCATGTGGCAAACTTAACTCTGTGACGCAGTTACTATTTAAACTATTTTGACTGCGACTTATAATATTTTATTAAATTTTGAATGGGTAAAATTTATTTCAAAAAAATTTAAAAATAAATTGTTCAAGTTCACACTGAAAATTAGTTGGCTTAAACCTCCGAATTACGTCATATAAAATGGAAGGAAGGAAACATTATTTATGAAAGAAAAAAGATTTTACAAGAAAAACTAGTAAATTCACATTTTATTATATAACAGTAAAAGAAGAAAAAGAGTATTGTAGAAAAAGTAGAGGGAGTGATAATTCTTATTGATTTTGGGATGATTTACAATGGAATAAAACCCTCTATTTATAGGGAGAGAGTGACTTAGCCACCAAGTAATAAACCATATAATTTCTCTAAATATAGACATTCACCATAAATAAAATTTTATTTATAACACATTTGTTTTTTTTAATAAATATTCTCCTTATTTCAGTTATATCCACCTTTCTTCCTTATTTTTTTTCACCATTCTTCCTTCTTCTTTATTTTTTTTAACCTTTCTTCTTTATTTTTTAACTTCTTCTTCATTTTTTTAGCCTTTTTTCTTCAGTTCCCCTTATGGGTTTCCTTTGGAAAAATTTTCTCTCTTGTTTCCTCTGAAATGATTATTCTTTTTCTTGTTTTAGTCGTCTTTTATGTCTAACACAAATTGTTGAAAAAAATATCAATTTAAATCTTTTTAATAAACTCAACACCTTGTAGAGAATAAAGTTGAATCTCTTGAACATTCTTTATGTAATCTGGAATTAGAGAATATAATTGTTGGCTAACTAATTTTTATTTGCAAATTTTTTTTTATGTAATATAAGATGATTTTAAAGAAATGCAACACTATATACCTTATTTATATTTTTATTGTGCTATAAAGTGAATATAATTAAGGACTTATTCAATTGGAGTTGATTAGCATAAAGCACAATCACAACTAAACATAAAATTAACACATTATATTGAATACTGTTTTGGCCAAAACTCCAAAATTAATCAATCATCCGAGAGTAATACATTATGAATAAACTATATAAAAAACTTCGTACAAACCATAAGTTAATATAGTTAGACAAACGCACCTTTAAAGTCCAACATGGAATTTTAATATATAAGAGAATATAGTTCGGGGAGGTTTTGGGGACACAAAATAGTTTAAGTAGGTAATTGACAAAAAATAATAGACGCGCCTCTAAGAATGCAATGAAGGGTTTTTAATATGAAGGGCAACATAGTTCGGGGGGGAGTTGTGGGGACGGGGGGGGGTAGGATTGGGTACACCAAATAGTTTAAGTAGGAAACTGACAAAAACATGATAGTTTAGGAGGATTTAGGGTATTATAACTCAAAAAAAAAAAAGGTAAAAATTGTACATCCAAAATGTGAGATCCCCTTAAAACACCTATTTTTGTCATTAGAACAAGAGTTAAAACTATTTTACTCACCAACCTAGGGGTGTATATAGGGTCGGTACTATCAAATCAAACTAATTGTGTCGGGTTATTAAATTTAAAGACCAATCCAAACTAACAAAAGTCGGATTTTTTAATCTCGGTTTCTCGGATTTTTCGAATTTTTGGGTTTTTTAATTTTTTTCCTCATAAAATCTTCCTAGCACAAAATATAGAATTTATGCTCCAAATATTTATTTAATCATAATAAGACAGAACTATATAAGGTATTTTTAAAAAAAAAAATAACATAAAATATGAGATGACTCATGGCATTGTACTAAAATATTCAAAAATAAAATTAATAAAGTCGCATAAAATAAATATTATTATTAAGCTATAATGAAAATGGCCATAATAAGTACTACTATTTACATGACTAAATACTAAAAAATAAGTTATGCATTTATCTAAACCATGGAAAACCTAAAAAATAGATATCCAACACAATTGTCATTCCTAGTACAATAGAATTGAATGTCTTTTGTTAGTATTAGTATTGATTTGATTTTGGTTTGGGATTTGAGTTACTGACATTTATGGACTATAAAATTTATTGGAGCATTCAAAAATTATAAGTCCAAGTTTGAAATAATACGTTAAAAGATAAAACTATAAAAATGTTTAGGAAATATTCATAAACTATGCTACAATAAATATATTTTTTTGTATTAAATATATTAAAAGCTTTTATACAGGTAAAGTCGGGTTGGTTTGGTTTCGTTTGACTTTTTCTAGTTAAAACCAAACCAAACCAATTATGGTCGGGGTTTTTTCCCAACACCAAAACAAATTAAACCGAACCATCGTCGAGTTTTTTTTTTCCGTTTTAACTCGAATTATCGGTTTGATGCGATTTGTCAATTTCCTTGCTCCTACACCAACCAAACATCGAAAAATATTCTCCATTCATTAAATACGGAAAGATAAGTTTTAATAAAAACAATTAATTTCTTGAGAAATACCTTTTAGGAAAACATTTCCCTAGGGGAACATTTTCCTTCGTAACAATAAAAACCATGCTATATGCATTTAGTTCTTTAGAATTTGCTTTACGTAATGTTTAACTTGACTTTTTGGATTATCATTTATTATTCTTAATTAAGCACAATATAATATTTGCTTTATATATATTTATATATATATTATTACTAATGCACGGATATGAATGCCTCGTAAAACAAATTAGCCTGCAACACATGGCTGCTCCAAAGACGACGGTTTATCTTCTCCTTTTGTTGGTTTTCACAAGTGATCTCTCTCTCTCCTCTCTCTCGCGCTCATTTTTTATTTATATTCCTAGCCGGTATGCATAAATTATATAATGATCATACACTATTATATTATATTATATATGAATTATACATATATTATACGTCTGCCGCAAGGGTGTTCAGTTCAAAGTCTATCTTTTTTTATCAATAACAAGTAATATTATACCCTATAAATGGGCAGTTCGGTGTACTAAGCTTCCGCTATACGCGAGATCCGGGAAAAGGCCGGACCACAAGGGTCGTCTATTGTATGCAGTTTTACCCCACATTTTTGCAAGAGGTTGTTTCCACAGCTCGGACTCGTGACCTCCTGATCACATGGCAGCAACTTTACCAAATACGTCAAGGCTTCCCTTCTAATATTATACCCTATATATAGTATATTTTTCGACGAAGGATGTTCAGTTGACCACCCTTAGTTTGACCACATATAGTTTCACCTCTGGTCTGCCAACAACAACAAACAACAACAAACCCAGTGAAGTTCCACACGTGGAGTCTGGGGAGGGTAAAATGTATGCAGACCTTACCCCTACCTTTAGAAAAATAGAGAGACTGTTTCCGGAAGACCCTCGGCTTAGGACTTCACCTCTGGTCTGCCGGCTACTTTTTAATTTAAACAGTTTCGTGTGCAACTATTTAGGTTAATTCTTCTTATCTAACTAATGAAATGAATATTATAACAGGTATATTATATGAAGTGGAAGCAAGGAATGTAGTGTATGTGCATTGCAACAGTGACAGTGACTGCGAGTTTATTTGCAAAGATGAGAATTATAAGATGGATCCTTTTTGCTACAAAAGCCTATGCGTTTGTGATAGTAATTACTTTTGCAAAAATAAATTTGGTTGCCACTTGAAAGGATTCGAATGCGATGATGGTGATGTCCAATGTATTAATTACACGTGTCAGTGCCCAGAAAAAGTGTAGGGCTAGCTATGTAAAAATTATGAGTCCTAATTATACATATTCCGAACTACCTCGGCTTGTAAGGGAAAATTTCACGTAAGAACAATTGGGATCCTTACTTTTTAATTTTATGGCCCATATTTTAATTTACAATCAACTAGCCAAAAATAATAGGTTAAGATTCAACATCCAACTCCAATAGATTTTCAAATTACTATTTAATTTTTAAAAAAGATTGCTCAACCTTTTACGTTAATTTTCGAATAAGTAACTGTAACCCAAATATTAGTTCAACAAATCAAATCCATTTGGATGGTGAAAATTAGATTTTTAACAAGCTTAAATATGTGGGTTTAGATTCCGAATTTGATTTTCTAAGAAATTTGGAGTGGGTATTATCTAGAATTGTTAGAAATAGTATAAGGAAGTTGTATATAAAATTTGAAGTTATTTAATGGAGACTTGGGCTGATTTTAAACAAGAATTGCAACTGAAAATCGTGGAAGAAGTTCATTTACAAACGCTTGTATAAAGGTGTATAAAAGTGTATTATTGTATAAGATGTGTTTATACACTCATATACACTATTATACAAGATTATACAAAAAACTGACTTCGTCTTCTTCCTTGCGTTTTTTCTGAAATTTAACTCAAATCTTGCTCAAATCTACTCCAAATCACTTCAAAGTTAAATTTTGAACTCCTTTTGACATTTTCAATCAATTGGAACAACACTCAATTCAAACAACTAACAAACTCAAAAAATCTTAGTTTTGAAAGCCAAGCTTTGAATGGCCTTCAATGGTGGAATGTTGAATCTTCAATTTTCTTACATTGCAACCAGGTGACACAGGGGAGAAGCAGTACTAGCGGACGTGTCACGACCCAAGTTCGCCCTCCGTGAACTGTCATGACGGCACCTAGTCTCTACGACTAGGTAAGCCTAACAAATTGCGGAAAACAAAAACGAAAGATAAAACTAGCCAAATACCGCGGATAAAACATAAGTAGAACGTTTAAGATGCCGCTCGGCATATACAAATATAAACTCTCAAACTGAATCAACTCCCAAAATTCGAAATCTCATAAAATCACAAGCTGTGGAATAACTACAAATTGTTCTAACTCCAGAATGATCTAAACAAAAGTAAATACAGGAGAGCTAAAGCTAGAAGAGAGAATAGAGAGAGACTCCTCGGTCTGCGGACGCGGCAGATATACCTTAAAGTCTCTAAAGGTCGCCTCGCCTCGCTAACGGTATCGCTGAGCCGATGAACCTGGATCTGCACACGAAAAATATGTGCAGGAAAGGGCATGAGTACACCACGGCGGTACCCAATAAGTGCCAAGCCTAACCTCGGTCGAGTAGTGACGAGGAAGGTCAGGGCCCCACCGGTCATATACATATATATATATATATATAAGGAAATGAAACAGTATGGAGTAACACAGGATAATAAGAATAACACAACTACAACAGAGAGAAAAATCACAGAAAGAATATAGCTCCACACAGAGATAGCAACCGGGGATCTCCTAGGATATCGTCCTGTAGTCCCCAAATGTAAATATCCAGTGGATCTCCCGGGTGTCGTCCCGTAGTCCAAATCATAGTGCGCAGGGGATCTACCGGAATACCAATACATAGTCCCAAATGTAAATATCCAGTATAGGGGGAATCTATCCGGTGCAGTTCCGTAGTTCCAATGTAAATGTGCATGGGGGTCTACCGGAATACCAATCCATAGTCCCAAATAAACAGGCAAGGGTATCTACCGGGATATCGCCCGTAGTCCCAAAATAAACACATAGCAATATCACGAAGAATATTCAATTCTATCCAATTCCATACCAAGGAAAAATAGGTATTTCTAACCTAGCATGCTGCACAAAATTCAAATAAGGCAGTTTGAGCAAGTAAAACACTTAAGTCACTTAGACATGCTTCCCTAAGCTAACAGTAGGCTTAAATTGCAAGTAGTGTACAACAAGGAAGAAACTAGAATCCTCACACTCCCACGAGTTCATACATACCAAATACATAAAATTCGGACTACAAACGGCCCCTCAAATCCCCAAATCCAAGTCTCCAATTTCAAACCCTAAACCCCCAATTCTAACCCTTATTTTCCATAAAATTCTTGCCAAATCAGTAGAATAATACCATATAAACGAGTTTCGGTTCCAAAAATCTTACCTCCTTGAAGCTCCCTTGAATCCTGTCTCAAAAACCTTCCAAAAAGCTCAATTCTCGGATAAAAATGGTGAAAGAATAGGCTAAAATCGCGACAGAAACCTTAGATAGGTTCTGGCCCAGGGTTTCCGCACATGCGGCCATTTCCTCGCACCTGCGGACCCGCACCTGCGGTCCCAGGTGCGCATATGCGAAAATACACTTAAATGCACTGGCCGCGCCTGCGCTTCACTTACTGCATATGCGATCTCGCAGGTGCGATAAAGCACTCGCACCTGCGACTCCTGATTTTCCTTCCTCTGGCCGCATCTGCTGCTGGCCACACGCTTCTGCAGGCCCGCACCTGCGGTAATCCGCAGGTGCGGTTATGACAGCACTTCAGCAGCTGAAGCTGCTTCCAAATCTCCCGATTTCTTCCGTCAACCTTCCAAAATCATCACGGGGTCCCCGGGACCTCAACCAAAAATACGAACGAGTCCTATACTACTATTTAAACTCGTACCAACCCTCGGACACTCAAAACAACGCCGAAATACCAAATCACCCTCGGATTCAAGCTTAAGGATTCCAAAACTTCCAATTTTCGCTTTCGATCAAAAAGTCTATCAAACCTCATCCAAATTACCTGAAATTTTGCACACACATCCCAAATGACACAACGGACCTACTCCAACTTCCGGAATTCCATTCCGACCCCGATATCAAAATCCCACTATCGAACCGGAAACTTCAAAAATTCGACTTTTGACATTTCAAGCCTAATTAAGCTACGGACCTCCAAAACCCAATCCGAAAACGCTCCTAAGCCCAAATTCACTCAACGGAGCTAACGAAATCGACAAAATTCCATTCCGAGGCCGTCTTCACACTGCTCCGACTATGGTCCAAATTTTAAACCTTAAGCTCTCATTTAGGGGCTAAGTGTCTCAAAACACTCCGAAACTCACAACGAATCATCCCGGCAAATCAAAATAGCAGAAACAAACACGGGTGAAGCAGTTAATAGGGGATCGGGGGGTTAATTCTTAAAATGACCGGCTGGGTCGTTACATCTTCCCCCTCTTAAAACATTCGTTCGTCCTCGAACGAGCATAGAGACATACCTGAAGCAGTGAAAAGATGAGGGTAACGGCTGCGCATATAATGCTCGGTCTCCTAAGTCGCCTCCTCGACCGGCTGACCCCGCCACTGAACCTTCACGGATGCAATGTCCTTTGACCTCAACTTTCGAACCTGTCTGTCCAATATCGCCACTGGCTCTTCAACAAAAGATAGATCCCCAACTGAACTGAACTGAAATCCAACACGTGCGACAGATCACCATAATACTTCCGGAGCATCGAAATATGAAATACCAGATGAACTCCTGCCAAGCTGGGAGGTAAGGCAAGCTCATAAGCAACCTCCCCAACACGTCTCAATATCTCAAAAGGACCAATAAACCTCGGACTCAACTTCCCTTTCTTCCCGAATCTCATAACGCCCTTCATAGGCGAAACCTGAAGCAAGACCCGCTCTCCAACCATGTAGGAAACATCACGAACCTTCCGATCCGCATAACTCTTCTGTATGGACTGGGCTGTGCGAAGTCTATCCTGAATCACCTTAACCTTCTCCAAACCATCCTGTACCAAATCAGTGCCCAATAATCTAGCCTCACCCGGCTCAAACCAACCCACCAGTGATCTATACCTCCTACCATACAAAGCCTCATACGGTGCCATCTGAATGCTGGACTGATAACTGTTGTTGTATGCAAACTCCGCCAATGACAAGAACTGATCCCAAGAACCTCCAAACTCCATCATACACACATGGAGCATATCCTCAAGAATCTGAATAGTGCGCTTGGACTGTCCGTCCGTCTGGGGGAGAAATGTTGTACTCAACTCCACCCGAGTACCCAACTCATGTTGTACGGCCCTCCAGAACCGTGATGTGAACTGAGTACCTCTATCTGAAATGATGGAAACCGGAATACCATGCAGACGAACAATCTCCCGGATATAAATCTCCGCTAACCGCTCCGAAGAGTAGGTAGTACACACAGGAATGAAATGCGCGGACTTGGTCAACCGATCCACAATCACCCAAATAGCATCGAACTTCCTCAACGTCCGTGGGAGTCAAACTACGAAGTCCATGGTGATCCGCTCCCACTTCCACTCCGAAATCTCTATCTGCTGAAGCAACCCACCCGGTCTCTGGTGCTCATACTTCACCTACTGAAAATTGAGGCACCGAGCTACAAACCCAACTATATCTCTCTTCATCCGCCTCCACCTATAGTGCTGTCTCAAATCCTGGTACATCTTCGCGGCACCCGGGTGGACGGAATACGCAAACTATGGTCCTCCTCTAGAATCAACTCCCGAAGCCCATCAACATTGGGTACACATACCCGACCCTACATCCTCAATACCCCGTCATCACCAATGGTCACATCTCTGGCATCACCATGCAGGACCTTGTCCTTGAGGACAAGCAAATGAGGGTCATCAAATTGACGCTCCCGGATACGATCAAACAAGGAAGACCGAGAAACCACACAAGCAAGGACCCGACTGGGCTCCGAAAGATCCAATCTCACAAACTGGCTGGCTAAGGCCTGAACGTCCATCACCAAGGGCCTCTCCGCTGTCGGTAGATAAGCTAAACTCCCCAAACTCTCTGCCCAGTGACTCAAAGCATTGGCCACCACATTGGCCTTGCCCGGGTGATATAAGATAGTGATATCATAGTCCTTCAGCAGCTCTAACCATCTCCTCTGCGCAAATTAAGGTCCTTCTGCTTGAACAGATGCTGCAAACTCCGGTGATCAGTATAAATCTTACAAGGCACACTGTATAAATAATGACGCCAGATCTTCAAGGCGTGAACAATATCAGCTAACTCGAGATCATAGACAGGATAATTCTTCTCATGTACCTTC